CAATCATGTATCTTAAATTTGTTGTGTTTACAATCATTTCATTGACATTCATTATATTAAGGTTATTTTGATTATATTGAGAGATATGGTCAAGAGAAGAGTTAGGAAGAGAGTTATTCTTTGACCAAGTCAAAAACCAACCTTTAAATACATTTTCAAGTAGTACAATTTAATTTATTAGACTATTTCAATGGTTGCTTCCAAGTTCTTAAATTCTTTAACGAAACAATTGTTGGTGAAGTGATTGTTGACAAAATGAATCAAACCCATATTTATTTCAAATTCGCGATTTTAATTGGTCAATCAATAAATGGCATGGGTTAAAATTTTGTGTTCCCCTCCTGTTAATTTTATGTTCCCAGAACGGTCTCTCCTGTTCATCGATCCCAGTGTTTTTGAAATTCAATCGGCGGAATCGGTGCGCGCTAACCAAATCTGAAAATCAAATGCAGATAATTTCTAAATTAGACTAGGCTTACGTTGAGGCACAGTCGAATTCCGAACTCACATTTTTCCGATGATAATTCGAGTAATGATCAACCAAAATTTTAGCCAATGAAATCAATGAAATTAAATGTCCAATTATATGATTTGCATAACATAAACGTCATTCGCGTATAAACTTTTTGAATAAACAAAATTTTTTTTTTCATTTGCTTGGCTCACTCGCTTGTCAATAAACTTATAACTATAATATTTAATATTATTTTATTTTATATCAATAAATGAAAAAAAATAACGAAAAAATGGTGAAAGAAAAAATGACACCTGTTAGATCTGATGAAAACGTTGAACCGGAAAGCCTTGACACTAAAACAACACCCTCAACATCTTTTGTTTTACCTCATGATAATATTATTACTACTTTTGAAGATGTTCAAAAAAATTCTGGTTCAGATACCATCAGGTCAACCACCGCCATCGCTACTACCAATTATTTATCGCAAAAAACCCCCGCAGGAATTAGCGTAATTTTTATTGATTAAATAATAATGTGATGCTTATTATTTTATAAATACAATTAAATATAACCAAATATTATGTTATGATATTTTATTTTAGAAACATAAAAAATCTTTTAAACCAACAATACCCAAACCATTTAAATTTTGTACCGCTGCACGTCCAAATTCAAAATGTCATGATGAAACTCAAAAAAGGTCGCCATTTGTTCCATTAGCAGTTAAAGTTAAAGACTTTTTGAAAAAGGATGAAAGATCAACATTTGACAGCGATAAAAAGGTTCTTATCATTATATAATTATTCTAAAAAAAAGAATAATATTTAAAATGTTTTAATTTTTTAATTTAAAAAAGATTAATCGTGGACAAAAGAAACCACCTACAATTCCAAGATCTCCAAAATTACATAAATCAAAAGCATCAAAGTATATTTTACATTTAACTTTTGTAGTAAATCGATTAAAGATCTCTATACGTCAAGAGACTTGTATTTATTATTTGTTTTGTTTATGCATCAGTACTTTATCCACCGAAGAACAACAAATGCAAAAGGTTAAAAATAATCAATTCAAAGCCAAAAGTTTTAATCAAAAGGTATTATTCCGATTTATTATATTGATTGTTATAATAAATGAATTATAAAAATTTATTAATGAGATTTTTTTTAAGATTTTTGAATGTAGTGATTTAGGTTTACCAAAATTACAAAAGATTGAACCTACTGTACCAGAATCTCCAGTTATCACCAAACCAAACTCTCAATCAGTTGATGATAGCGACAGTGTTATTTTTCTTGATGATATTAATAATAATAATCTACAAGAAAATTTGGATCAAAACCATGATGAATTGGGAAATACTCATTTATTCAAAGCACAGCCGGCTCCAAGCGACACACCAGATGTAAGTCTATTATTTTTATTTTTATTTATCTTTATCTTTCCTCTCATATATATTTTTTATTATCTATTTAGGAGTTGCCACCTCAACTTCATTATTCAGCAACACATCCTAAACCATTTACTTTAGAGACTGATCTTCGAGGAGAAAGGTATCAAGAATCATTTCAGGAAGGATTGAAAGATCAAATGGAGCATGAAAACGAGAACCAAATGGAACATGAAAACGAGAACCAAATAGAACATGAAAACGAGAACCAAATGGAACATGAAAACGAGAACCAAATGGAACATGAAAACGAGAACCAAATAGAACATGAAAACGAGAACCAATTGGAACATGAAAACGAGAACCAAATGGAACATGAAAACGAGAATCAAATGGAACATGAAAATGAGAACCAATTGGAACATGAAAATGAGAACCAATTGGAACATGAAAATGAGAATCAATTGGAACATGGAAAGGAGAACCAATTGGAACATGGAAAGGAAAATCAATTTCATGTGCTACCAATGCCAAACCTAGAATCAGAGAAACCACAACAACCAACAGAACCTCCTTTTCATACTGATATTAGACTACAAGACCAAAAATTATTTGATGAACAAGGAAAAGAACAAGAAGGAAATGACGAACAAAAATATGAAGATGAAGTAATAATAATAATAGATTTTTTTAGTAACTAAATAATTAATAATTAATATATAAAATATATTTGTATAATTGAATAGAGATGTGAAGAAAAAGAAATTCGTTATTTGAGTTCAGAATCGACTCCTCGTGCAAGCCCGGTTAAATGCTATACACCAACAATAAAGCAGTCTAACAAAAGACCTATCAAATCAGCTTCTCCATTTTTGGGTGAAAAACGTCGCAGATATGAACAGGTGTTGCAAGATTCTTCTTTGGTTAATTTGGATCTCGAAGTGCCATTAAAATACAAATTGGAGTTATATGATAAGAAGCATACTCAAAAACAATCACAACGTAATGATGATAATATTGATAATATTGATAATATCGATAGATCAACTGAATCTATTACGATTAATTCTTTAAATCTCATTACTTCAAATGATCAATTAACAGCAATGGATTCAACAAAAGTCAATCTTACTGACCTTACAATAAAATTCATATCTGAAAAGATCAACGAAAATAATAATAATGCTGATGAATTGAATTAAAATAGAGTAAATTTCATTTTAGAAATTATGAAATGATGGTCTGAGTGACTCGATTAAAATTACGCATAATCCTAATTCTTCTCTTCCAAACAAAGTTTATATCACTTGAAGTATTTATAAATTGAATAAATAATAAAATATAATCATTTTCTTGAAAAAGAAAAACTTGAATGATATCTTTATTAAATGAACTTAAAGATTTTACAAAAAACTAAATAAATACAATTTCCATGATTCAATAATAAAATAAAATAACAGCCTTTTTGTGCACAAATGATTAAGTAAATGTCAATCCCTTTTTTGTTGCAAAAAAATTTTTTAATTTTTTTAATTTTAAATTTTTAGTTTAATAATTGTTATATCAATAAATAAAAATAAAATAAAATAATAATGTCAAAAAGACTTTTTACAAGACTTTCTATTGATATAGGTCAATTACTTGACTTTAATAACAATTACGATGTCATTATTACTGTTGGTGAAGAGCTAAAAAATACCAAAGACTTTCATGCTCATTCGTTGATTCTTGGTGCCAGATCTTCATACTTTCGTTCTGCATTCTCTAACAATTGGACAACTAGAAAAGAAAACGGTTTTATTCACTTTAAAAAACCAAATATATCACCAAAAGTTTTTCAAGTTATTTTAAAGTAAGTTTTTTTTATATCAAATACACTCTAAAATTTCCCCAATTTATCCACCCATACACACTCGTTCATTTATTTTATAATCAATTAATCATATAATCAGTTACTAATATATTTGGAAAAAAAATCATAAAAAATTATAAAAAAAAGATACATATATTCTGGTGTGGTTGACTTTGAGAATCATCAATTATCAGACATTTTAGAAATATTAATAGCAGCTGATGAATTGATTTTGGATGAATTGACTGAACATATACAAATCTATTTGATGGAAGAAACGTTTTGGTTACCCGAAAACATTGTACAAGTTATTCAAACTGTCTTCCCTTTTGAGACTTGCAAAAATTTACAAAATTATTGTACAGAGATAATTTGTCACAATCCAACAATCATATTCGAATCTGATGATTTTTACAAAATGGATAAGCAAATACTTGTCAACCTATTAAAACGTAACGATTTCGCTATTGGTGAACATGTTCTTTGGGATCATTTAATCAAATGGGGTCTATCACAAATTTCCATATCGTTAGATGATGATGATGATGATGGTGATGTTTCTGATGTAACAAAATGGAAAAAAGATGAATTCAAAATGTTGGAAGATGTTTTACAAGATTGTATACCAGAAATAAGATTTTCTCAAATGACCTCTGAGGAATTTTACAAATCAGTATATCCATACAGAAAAATTTTACCCAAGAACTTAAAACATGATTTAATCTGTTCTTACCTATCCAAAAATCATATATCTGAATCTTTATCAATTATACCTGCAAGGGAAAAAAATATAGATCTCTTATTTATTTCCCCACCGCAAGCTTCTTTAATAGAAAGTTGGATTAATTGCACCACTATCGACCATATATCATTAACCATTTCAACCACAAAATTACAATATCGATGGAATCTATTATACCAAGGATCAAGAGACGGTTTTTCGCCCGTAGTTTTCCATGAAAAATGTGACAATCAAGGACGTTGTGTTGTGATAACAAAAATTCGTAATTCTACCACCATAATAGGTGGTTATAATCCCATCGGGTGGTACAGTAGTTATGGATATTACGAGGAGACACAAGATAGTTTTATTTGCTTATTCAAGAATTTTTACGATCTGAAAAATTATAAACTGAGTAGAGTCATATCACCTGAAAATGCTATCTTTCAACAAAACGAATTTGGTCCTGATTTTGGTGAACCGGACTTTTTATTGTTCGGTGAAAATAATGAAACTTATTGTACAACGGGTTGTGCATATGAAGAAGCAATTGATCTGGGACATTTTGAAGTTGATGATTATGTTGTTTATCAAATTGTTAGTAATAATGAAGAACTAGTCGAAGAAGAGAAGAAGAATAATATTGAATAAATTTATTGATTGTTGATAAATCAGAATTTTGACGTGGATGATGTGTATGAAATGAATGGATGAATAAAATAATAGTAATAATTAGGTAACAATTACAATTAGGTAATTAATTATTAGTTAGTTGTATATTTAATTTATTTCTTTTTAACCTTTAAATTTTTCTGTCAATATATAATTTACTTTTTAATATTAGTAGGAGAAGGAGAAGAAATATCATAATTTTTAATAACTGATACTATTTTTTTTTAAATCAATTAATTATTTAATACTCAATTTTCTTTTTCGTTAACAACCCCAACACTATTTAAAACTAATTTTTTTAATTTAAATGCAACTTTTCTTAATATTTTTACATGTAAATAATAATATATACATAAATTAGAATAATAAATTAACAAGTAAACCTTATTACACTAAATCAGGAAGATCCAAATCCTCCCTATAGCTAATTGTGGCTTCATAGAAA